TGTTATAAATTTATACTTCCAACAATTTGTTACAACGTTAATTTTAACAATTTACACGTTTTTACAACTTTCTTCAATGGAAACATACTCGTGATTAAATTCACTTCGTAAAGATTAAAAATCAAGTTGATCTGTGATCATATACATATGAAGAATAGCCATGGTAAAGCTAAAATTATTGTGTCAAATAATTCTTTTTAGAGGAATTAACAATTTATTCAAAGTTTGTTTGTTGCAACACCACGAAATAAATTATATTATACATTTTCTTTATTTACACTGTAACAACCATGAACGAAGACGGCGACAAAAATTTCCATTCCGCAAGAGGAAGTGAGAGGGACGACTCTCTATCCTCGTCGTCAATCAAATAATCGCGAAGCGATAGAAGCTTCTAAAAGAAACTAGCTTACGATCCGCGGTAGATTCGCGGATTTACGCGGGAAACTCGCGGTTTCGCGCGGGAGACTCGCGGTTTCGCGCGGGAAACCACTTAGCGACGCGTCTTGTTGATAAGCCGCGCTTCATTAGCAGCGCTCAAGTATAAATACCACGGCCGCGGACGCGGCCACGCAGTCTTGCTGTACTCTGCTGGGAGAGAAGGAGGTCCTACCATCGGTCGCCCTTCAGAGTGGGAGAGTACGGAGCCTGGCTTTCGGACGTCCTTACAGCAGAGGAGAGTACGGGGACTGACACCTGGGTCACTCTCTGGAGGAGAGAACGGCTGGACTATCCGCCGGTCGCCTCTGAAGAGGAGAGTACAGGGAGGTTACCCGGACGCCTGAGGAAGCTCGGAGAGGATTGCCTAGTACTTCTGGTGGTATGGAGAGACCGGCTGGACTATCCGCCGGTCGCCTCTGAAGAGGAGAGTACAGGGAGGTTACCCGGACGCCTGAGGAAGCTCGGAGAGGATTGCTTAGTACTTCTGGTGGTATGGAGAGAACGGCTGGACTATCCGCTGGACGCCTTCCAGAGAGGAGAGTACAGGGAGGTTACCCGGACGCGTGAGGAAGCTCGGAGAGGATTGCTTAGTACTTCTGGTGGTTTGGAGAGAACGGCTGGACTATCCACCGGTAGCCGGACGCCTTCCAGAGAGTTGAGTACAGGAGGCTCACCGGACGCCTTCCCACGGTAATTGTTATAAATCGTTTTATCCGTTTCGCTAATATTGTAACGGGAGAGTACGGCTGCTTAAAGCCGGACGCCCGAAAGCAAAAGCAACAGCTCGAACACTGCATTGATTTGTTCGAAATTATTTTCTACCAAACATTTAACATGTATCGACGAAAGATAAATAAACTTTTGTGTGTTTTTTCCCAGATACCAAAGAATATCCTTGTATTCCATAAAATATTACTACAACGGGAAGATTACTCGAGAATAGGTAAACACTACGGGCAATACAAGAAATACTAACGGACGCAAATTCAAAATGAGAAACTTACAAGACTGTCAATATGTGTTATGAAAAAGTGAGTAGAAACATTAAACAAATTTTAACGTTGCGCATGCCAGTTCGTAGTTTCACAAATTCGGTAACACGGTCCACTAGCGGGTTACTGTTGTACATTAAAATTCATCTGATTTGAGATTTCGATTGAAATGTAGTATAATTTTTTAATATTTAACATTCAAGCTTCTAAATACTCCAAATCTGAAATTATTTCATTCTCAAACCAATTCTATCATTAGTTAAAATGAACAAAATTATTCGTATACATTAAAACAACCTTACACCACACTCTAGTATCTCGAAATCGTTATTACACCAAGAACAAACTGTCTCCATCCTGAGAATAAGGTCGACCTTGAAATCTTCAAGTACGCCACCATCCATAAAGAGAATTATTACCCTTGTTTTACGATCCCACCCTACTACCCCACAATTTCCATAATACTATTTATCAGTGATATCTCGTATAAATATTTAAACCAGCAGCTAGCTCTTCATACCCTACACCCTTCTATACTCCCATTCAAACCGTAATTCGCCTCTTACAAATTTCCCGAATATTATACACGAAACTATGTCGGGGACGTGCTACGACCTTACATTCACCGTTTTCAACATTCGTCTGAATAAACGTAAACCTTTTTACCCCTTACCTTATCTCCTATTTTCTCTACACGTTTTCTCTATCGTTGCATTCACTGCATATCGATCTAACGATAAGATGTAAGGCGGAGGCAAACGGGGTCTAGACAAAGGGCGAAATTCAGTGTCGGGGAACGTCGAGCTCTGTAAGCTCGCGCTCGCTCGCTGCGGGGGTGGAAATTCTACGAGCTCGGCGTATACTCTGGTGCCGCCGCGATGAAACGTTTTGTTTGAAAAGCTTCGCCCTTCTCCACCTTTCGAAACATTTTCAATTTACGCCACACAATTTACAGAGACGTCTTTTACACGGACGCCGGGCGTATTCCGTGCCCGCGACCCGATATCCTGCCTCCTCCCATTCGGACGTCCGAGCAACGCCAACAAATAGTCATGAAATTCCATTTGGAACGCGTCGTCGACTTAATGTGACGTTCTATAAACGACCGATGTTCGACGAACCGTGGATTCGAAGGAACCGGATAAGCATCTGCGAGGTGATTGTCGTCGGTGAATGTGCTTGGATGTGTATCCAGGTTTCTTTTTCCTTTTTTTTTTTTTTTTTTTTGAGATCGTTAACCCTTTAGTAACACATGCGGAAAATATTCATGGGAATTGCAACGTTGAGTTGCACGGGTTGTGTTGGAAATTGTGGAACGATTGAATTGGAGATGATACCTCGGGCGAGATTAAGCTGGAAATGTAACGCGACTTTCTTTCCGTGCGAGGTCTCATTTTTGTTTTTTTTTTTTCAGGGATATGGAATTAGTTCTTAAATGTTTTTGTGAGGATATTGATTTTTTGAAGTTTGTTTAGTGTCAGTTTTGAAGCACCGTTGGAAGTTTAGTATTGCACTTTTTTAGATAGCTTTGTGGACCAACTCTGGTTTAAAAATTTATATTTTTAGTGAAAAGAAAATACTGCATTTCTGTACGTATTAAAAGTGTCCTGTGATTCGGAAGTTTAAAGAAATTAATTTTTCTTCTTGTACTTCTTTTTAATTTGAAGAGTATTGGCACGAAATTTGGGAATTTTTGAAGTTTATTTAGTGTCAGTTTTGAAGCACCGTTAGAAGTTTAGTATTGCACTTTTTTAGGTAGCTTTGTGGACCAACTCTGGTTTAAAAATTTATATTTTTAGTGAAAAGAAAATACCGCATTTCTGTAGGTATTAAAAGTGTCCTCTGATTCAGAAGTTTGCAGAAATTTTTTAATTTTAAGAGATAAAATTTTGAAAGTATTGGATCGAAATTTGGGAATTTCACGACAGTGTAATAATTGAAATGCAGTGGTATGTGGTTTAAATGTCAAAAGAATTTCCCAAAATTTATGCTTTCTTTAAGCAATAAAATTTGCTAGTAAAATATTAGCGATAGCCCTCGTACAAGGAATGGTAGAGTGAGGTATGGTGCGAAACTCTGTTGTGTCAAAGTAAGTACATAAAGGGAGGCCTAATAAAAACTACCCCATATTTATTACTGTAGAAAATTCCTCTTTTATTAGAGATAGTAATAATTGAGCAAATATTGTACTAACTGTTGATGACGGCATCTAGTACCCTACACTGATAAGCGCGTACCCTACAGCAGAAAGATATGTTATTAAAAATAAAGTGACTTTCAGAAGTCCTTTTTTTTCCTAAGATTGCATTTATAAAAGTACGCTAAAATTTTCAAATAAATAGGAAAGATAAGAAAGAATATTTAATTAACGAAAAGTTAGAAAAAAGGCGCATTCAGAAAGAGCGTAAACAAGCGTCCGTAAACCTAATCCCTAACAAATACAATTAGGCGAAACCAATGATTTGGAACTGGCCTTCTCGACACTTCGTCAAAGTAGTCGCAGTCGTATGCGAGAAGTCGTACAAGCAACCACGTGTACACTTGGTTTAAGTATAATAACTTTACATTATAATTAAAGTATAGTTATAGAAAATACTCTGGAAATATTTAAGCTTAACACTAACAACAACACACATATGTTACATTACGCACGAGTAAACCATTCAAGTTTCCTTCAGTTCTCCAGCCATCTTAATTATTCACCTACATAACCTAACATTTATCACCGAACACGCGCTATGTAGAAATAAGTGTTCCAAACGTTCAGCAATTTTAAATAAGTGTAAACATAAATAAAGCTAAAAGCCCAAACAAAATCGTGGTGAAAATAATCACGAAAGCAAACAATAAACCCGAACATTCCGAAACCACTTAAATCCATCGACAGGACAAGCGAAAGAAAAAAGCGAAGGAGCTAAAAATAATCAAACTCATTACTAAACCCAACAAAATCCCCTTCTCGAACTAACACAAGTTAACTCTAAAAACCAACGAGACCACCCAACCTAACCTCACTTTACCTCGTCGCCGTCGTCGGCCATGATCAGACTGCAAACAGTCCATCGTAGAAAAATGAAATAAGCATCTGACGATTATTGCAAAGGAACACGAAGCAAAAACCTTTCGTTTCTGTTCGTTCGTGTAAATATCACGGTTAGAAAGAAAAGGACAGATAGACAGGATGAACAGGTGAAACGGGAGCAGATCCATCGGATCGGTCGTTGGTTGGAAACTACGATCGCTGGAAAAGATAACGTCGTTACGAGGGTACGTTCTTGGCGTGGACTAAGGTCGCGGATTATCGTCGTTGCCAGCTATGTTGTTTGAATATGCCGCATCAATTTGTACCGTCGATGTTTACTGTTATCGTTGCCCGCGATCGATCGATATGTATATGTGTACGTATCGATATATCGAGGGTCGGGGAGCGCGTCAACCATTTTCTGTCAAACGATCAGCCAAAGCTGTCAGTTTTTTCTTTCGACTCGTGTGGCCCGTCCAAATTCACGGTGATGCCCGTGACAATCGCGACGAATTATCGGCTTTGTGCAACCAAAACTCGGTGTCATGGAAAGCATAAGATTGTACAAATTTTATAGGCCCCGTTACACCGGTCCTCGATGGCTGGTTCGTAAAGAAATTTCTCTCCTTTCCTAACTCTTTCTCTCGTGATTCTTTCAATGGTTACGTATATATGTCGGTCAGTCGCTGTTTCGATCTTACAGCGGGTGATCAAATTATTAGAGCCACAATACGAAAAATTTGTTCTTTGTGTAGAAATAAAATCACAATATCAAGGTTTTCGCACTAGATCATTTTTAATTAACGATTCTTCGCTAAAGACACACAAAACAGTTGATAGTTGTAAAAAATACAGTTAAGAAGTAACAATAAATTAAACAAGAAAAGTGCAAATTTCATGGACTTGTATATTGCAATATTTTTTTGTTTTCAATTATTTCAGTTTGGCAATATTTAGTCAATGTTTGCTTTCGTCACGTTACAATTGTAGCTTACGATACTTAATATTAATATTATACAGAAAGGAGTCGAAATTTTAATTAGTAAAGAAATTTGAAAAAT